CTAGCCAGAAATGCGATTGCTTTATAAAAAAAGGAACCATTTTGAAATACGAGTGTTTTTACGCACAGAAAATAATTTCTACAAATTCACATACGCGGTTAATCAACATTTGCATTTTGCTGATACGCGGTTTTACAGAATGACGATGCGCGGCCTTGTACTTTAAACGACGATATATTTGAAATGTAATACTTTATAGCATTTTATGGCTTATAATTAAGGGTTGCAAATATATAGTTAAATCACTCAAAATAATTAAATAATTTAAAAAAATATACGTGAATACTTTAACTTGTATGCAGTTTTATAATCAACATTTGATTTTGACGATTTGTGACGCCCAAAAACAAATCAATCATACGCGCTGGTGCACCGGATGTGCAAACATGCAGCGCTTACAAATAATTGAAGAAAAAAAACAAATACAAACCTAAATTGCAAATGCATGTTGACAGCAAATGTATTTACATCGCTCAATGTAGTCAATCTGAAATGGGCATATGACAACGCATAAACCTAAATACAAAACATACGTCACAGCGAAAGCAATTAGATACAGAAAGCGCCACCACCACACAAAATGTCAATAAATTTCAAATCTAGCACTATATACTAATTTTATACAATTCTGCATGTTTTTTCTAAATACATATGCATATACCTACATATGTATGTGCATATGATTCCACTGCATGAGGTGAGAAATTTGCAAAGTTTTCAGCGGCAATAAATTAAAATATTGATTAGGATATGCACTAGGCTTGATCGTGGAAAAAAGTTTGTAACTGGAACTATTTGAAAAAACCAACCAACAAGTGACTTTGGAAATGTTTTGTTTATATTGAAAAAATGGTCGCAGTGGCTGACCTTCAAAATTATAAACAATCTTATTATTTTCATAATATGCTTGCTTAATAAAGATTTTTTTTAAAGAATCAACTTAAAAAAGTACAAACGAACTGAAACTGAAGAATTATCAAATTATGTAATTATTTAGTTAAGTGGTTATATATAACTATATTTGAAATCGGGCGGGATGTAATGGGGAGAAGGGTGTTCAAGGCGGGGATAACCTGCCTTAGGGTTCACGCACTACCTCTTCGTGCCTACACCTCTGGTGAATACCGTTCACCTACCCAGCAAACACAGTTTCAGAAGTTTGAGAAAAATATATTGCGATTGTAACAATAAATTGAATTCACTTGAAAAAAGATAACAATGATTAGAAAAAGATTAAAAAAGAAGGTGCACAAATAGTGGGATAGATGTTTATGCGGGTTGATGGTAGACAGCCCAGCTGCAACACTTCAAGACGAATTTAATAGAAATTAATTTAGTTGATTTGTTTCTTTTATTATGTATGTATATACATGCATACCTACAGTACAACGTACATTGTACATCGTGAAGAAAAACTAGGTTTGAAATTCACATTTCCTATAATAAATTTTATTTCCACATTTGAAGTACAATTGATAAATAACCTTTGAAATTGATTTGGGAATTAACCATATTCTCAAATTGAGATCAAATTATCCTTTTTATTGAGAAAGCCGAGAATTTTTAAGACAATATCAAATCATTTTCAAACATAATTGTTTGCTGGGTACGTGTTATCTTGATATTTGTATGTGTCATCTTCTACTTGCAAGTAAGCACTGCAGATTGGAGAATCAATTTCGTATAGTATTTTCTTAATGTATATATGTAAGTATCTATATTAGGGTGGTCCAAAATAAGTAAAGTCAGGATTTTAATGCCCCACCTCCTAGGATTGTTCTATGTCAAAAAAAATTTTACCCCTACTTTTTTATTTTGAAATCAAAAAAAAAGTTTAAAAGTCTCCCAAAGCGCTCAGAGCTTTCTCTGAATTTTATATCGGGAGAAAACAACTTTCCATGGAAATAGTATGGAATTCTTGAAAATCATTATTTTTCGATCGGAAAACTATATTTCTCTTCTGGACCACTTTTTAATACTATAGATAGATTATTTATCCCCGTATTGCATTTTCTGGTATTTTTAGGCGTTTTTGCGGACTTATAAAATATATTTACTATGAAAAAATTGTTAAAGGAATAATTGGGTATTATTATTGGGAATATTCTGAAGAAAAAATGAGTTTTCTAGTCGAAACGTATGGATCTTCAAGAATTCTATACCATTTCTACGATTTTTCCCCCCCCCCACATATAAAATACATAGAAAACTTTGAGCGCTTTGAGCGACTTCTAAATATTTTTTGATTTCAAAATAGGGGGTGAGAGCATACAAATTCCGACTTAACTTTTTCACATGCATTTTTGGAGCACCCTAATCTACACCTACATACATATTATATGTATGTATATGGTTATACTTTCTCCAGTGCATCGTATTGTAAGTTTATTTATTTTAGTATCTATATACTTTACTATTTTGATACAATTATCTGTGATAATACTGCCGCTCGAGGCATATACGCCCTCCCTAACTACATTCAGTTTCCTTCTTTAAATCGATTGTCTATTATTTTGTACATACAATCTATAATAAAAAGACACATTTGTATACACGCATTGCAGTTTTTTTCGAAGTTTTTACATAGTGTATGGGGCCTTTATTTATAGCCCATCTAAGTAGTTCTTAATGCTCTTCTCCTCGTTTTATTCCTACCTCTCCCCTTCGAATTGGCTACGGTCGATTTTCTGTTAATATGCCTATATGACTACGAACTGTGAAGAATCTCAGAAAACCCAGTCGATATAGCCAGATTACGAACTACAAAATAACATTTGCTTGTAATCATGTTCAGATAAAATTACAGAAAGTTGGTATATATAGGCTGCGTTTCTTTATACATTCCAGATAATCCCATTTCGCAGCCAGAATAAACAGAATGCGTTTGAAAAATACGTTAACATATCATCAGGAACGTTCTAAAGAATAAGTAAACAAAAACATTTATTACAAACGTTCAGAATGAATAAATAAATGCAGCCATATTGCTCTGAAATCCCTCAATTAATTGCTAAACAAAATCGGAAAAATCCGTATATCTCAGATATTTTTTGCATAATTAAGGTCTGCAATAGCTCTACTTAAAGAGGGAAAAACATAGTTTGTTTAAGATACAGCAATACGTATAGGTTTAATAAAAGTATAGGGTGTAATTTTAATCCAAAGTTACCGTAAAGAATATTTTTAAGAATTTTCTCGAGCTTTTTGGTTCACGGAGTCAATGGTTATCAACTAAGCTTAAATTTTAAGTAATTTTCGGTTCGGTTTTATAGCAAAGGAGGATTCTACGTTTAATTCTAAGCAAATTTGCGGAAGAAACAATGGGTCTAAATTCAATTAGGAGTAAGGTTTCGAAGAAAATGTGAAAATTTTGACTGCTGCTGCCTCTGGTGAAAATTTGAAGAAAAAGATAAGTGCATAAATGGATTTCTCGTACCTTACAGCATGTTTTTATACAAAATTTAAGCACTTCTTTACGACCGTACAGCAAAATCCTATGAAACCTTTCTTCCCAATGTGACATACTCAAAATTGATTTTAGACCCATTGTTAAAAATTAAAAGGTCGATTTTTAAGTTTTTCCCCCGTTAACCAATTCAAGCGCTGAGTAACAAACTTTGTAGCTGGTGTTTAATGTAAAAAGGAGAACAAATTATCTGATGAAATGCCTGTAAGTATTCCACAATAAAAAATATATAAAAAATGTTCTTCAAGATCTTGGGCTTTAATAAACGCTTAAGCTAGTTTATGCCATAAGTAGATGGTTTTAAATTCTTTTAGGCCTTTTAGATGAGTAATCCAATGACCTTCGAATTTCAAAGGATTTTCGACGTATATGTATATGTATTAAGATAACTTTTTTAATGTTACTTTTTTACTGAAATATGTGTTTTGAATTTTTTGGGGGATTTTCGTAGGAAAACCTTTAAGATGTGGTTAATTGGGGGATGTTTTACTGATATTTGTGCATAATTTAACAGAAAATGTCTGGCATGGCCGATTGGGTCTAAACTTTTTTTTGCACCTCCTGAAAGCTTACTTGGAGGAAATTTAGTGTCATGCACAGAAGCATAATTTTTGTATTCTAAATTTAACCCGATTTTAAAAGCTGATACACACACCTTGGAAAGACAAGTTAAGTACTATGCATACCTTTAAGAACATATTGATCTAAATTATCACCTTTCACAAGTGAACCCACAGAACTCAATTTCTACTCGCATAGATTAAATTTTACTCGCCATAAATTCGAAAAAATTTAAAGTTTTACAACGCGTCAAGAACCAACATTTTTATGACCTCAAAGTATCTTTAAACCATGAAGGGGGCATTTCAAAAACTTGTTTTATCATATGCAAACCGATCCGGCCTAATGCAAGCAAATGCGTATTATTTGGATATATAATATTTTTATTCCTTCGATATAGGTACATATATTCCTTACGTGCATTTGTGGCAATATGAAATTCATTCCCATTTGAAGGCTTAACAACGCGCGTCTGAATTTTCCGCTCTACTTAATACGCGCTCACTTCCTATTTGAGCTGTTTTTTAAAAAACATATACATATAGCAGTACACAAATAAGCTTTTCACAGAGTAGCGCACCATTTTATACATATATACATATAAATAGGCACATTACGTACTTCTTTACTCTCTTACTTTTCGATTTTTTGCTAAGTATATCTAGTATAAGCACATATACGGCAACTCCTTTTATTTGTTTTTTTTTTTTTGCTTTGCAGGCACGTTGTACAAAATCGGCGATGTACTGCCACAGGATACCGGAAATTGCCTACAATGTGTGTGCATAGATGGCTCGACGAGCGATGACATGCCGCGCGTCACCTGCAGTCCGCACAATTGTCCGCCGCTAGTGCTGCCAGATCTCTTCGATGCGACAGGATATTAAGCAGCACGACAGATGACTGCAAAAATCAACCAATAACAGCAACTACATACACAAGTCAGCTCATTCGATGCATCGCTGTGAATTCACTCAAACACACGCACACATCAACACACACATACACACAATGGACAAAGGCGAAAAATTCTATATGAGTGCATCACTACTGATGATAGTGGCAGTATCAATAACGATGCGTTTCGCTGGCAGATAGCTCATCAACTATAGCAACTGATGTCGTTGAATGTTGAAAGGTAAATTGCTTATAACATCAGACAGCGCATGATTTATTGACATTTGGACCATGTCCGGGGGAGGGGTACGCAAATCGGGGACGTATTAGATATTAGCGCTTAACAAAATCGACAGCTATCTGCAGTTGCATTTTCCACCGCTGTTAAGTCAGCTTTAAATGTCATATTTCGTTCTGTGTAGAGTTGCATAAACTGGTATTCATGAAGCAGGCACACCAGGGCGTATACGAGCGCTGCAGCTGGCGCTTATATAACTTAGAAATGGTAGTATATACTGAACTGGGGCAAATTTACTCATATTTATTTATAGCAGTTGATTAGAAGTTTGTTTTTACTTTGTTTATTATTTATTTCCAGCAATGTCGTTTTCGTTGATAATTTTGAAATACACCCACATGTTTGCGATGTTGTGTGATTTTATGCTTTCACGCTTTGCTGATTTTGAAAATTATATACTCAAGGTTAACTAACCATGATGTGGGTAAGCCCACGCCCTTACAAAACTACACAGCGTGCGTATTTGTGAACACACACATAAATATTTACAATTGTTATTGTGTTAATACCAATGAATTTGAATTACTTTTCATAACCATAAATGAGTGAGCAAAGCATAATTATGGATAGAGGTTTGGTCACTAAATGGCTAATTTTCACTAGAAGGAAGAGTAGTAATAAAGTTGTGGAATTTTATTTCAAATTTAAAAAAATGGTGTAGAGTTTGTCCAAAAACGTTATGAATTATGAAAACTTCACAGTTTATATGAGGCCTTGAGAGCCAGAGTAGCCTAAATGAAATTTAAATAAAAATGCAGGTACAGCTTGAAATGCATTAATAGCATCGAATCGGTAATACCTAGACGCACGTGCATTTCGTTTTCTTTTACTAAAATAAAATTTCATCACCTGTGTAGATGCAAGTAAGTTTCAGTAAAAGACAGTGGTTGTTACTTCAGAAATAATTATTTAAGGATGCGATATCTTCTTAAACTTTTCTCATTTGACAACTCAACTTGAATTATTAAACAGGAGGCAAAATTATCCAAGGATATTAATGAGCTTACTTAAGCCTCTCTCTATTGATACCCATATTAATATATTTTTTTATATTGTTTAATAATTTTATTTGGAATAAAAGAAAAATATTTTTGAAATAAAAATCTCTTAATAAAAAATATATTCGTGTTTGAAATATATGCTTCTGCACTGTAAATTTAAATATCTTCCTTAACTTTATTTACTTTCAGCTAATAAATCAATAATCTTCGGTCAAACCAAAAAGTACCGTCAAGGCATATCCCCCAACAAATCAAACTTTCAAAGAAACATCACGTTAAACGTATTCTTACACAAACCTTTATATACTAAATATGTATGCTGGCGAAATAAAATTACAAAAAAAAATCACAAACCATATTCCTTCCAAACAATCTTGCACACAACTTCAGACAGCAAAAAAGGTCACCTTATTGTAAGTGTTTAACTAGCATATATGAAAGAAACAATTAAAATCAATGACAAAGTGAAAGAAATCAATTGATAAAATAAAACTAATAACATTGTAAGGGAAATCTCAAATTTTGAATTGATGCCAAAAAAAAAGCCCAAGCACATAAACTTAATTTTAGGTTTCTTTCACAGAATTCACAAGGAAAAAAAGTTCTACAAAATTACGCTGAAAAAAAATATATCAAAAAAGTGGAAAGATTTTTAGTACAATAAAAACGGTATAAAACATCGGCCATCTGGCCATTTTTGGTAAGGTCCATGAACCGTTTTGATTATTGTTAAGTAGGTTTAGGAGATGCTAAAAATAGATTTGTGGGACACAGAGGGTTGTAAAACCGCCACCATCTTGGAAAGAAGGGTGTAAGGGTTTTTCGAATATTACATCGATACCGTTCGTTTTTTTTCGAAAAAAAAACCTTAACAACTTTTTTGCTGGTCGAAAAAAAAAAACATTTTTTGTTTACGACTTTTTTCTAACGTCATTAATAATAATAATAAATTGTCGCTTACACATATGTTAGCGTTTGGCCGAGCTTCTCCTCCGACTTGGGGCGTGCGCCTTTATGTTGTCACACAACGGGCAGGGACCTACAGTTTTACGCCGACTCCGAACGGCGATTGTATTTTTATGAGAAGCTGTTTTTCATGGCAGAAATACACTCGGAGAAAAAAACCTTCTTTCAAATTTTTATTTGCGGTGTTGCTTTGATCAGGGCTTGAACTACACCTCATAACATCATTATTTTGCATATTAATACAAAAATGTGTGTTAATTTTTTTTTTCACTTTTCGACAGTGTATTTCCGCGCGATTCCTCATTCTCAAATCTTCCGAGAGGGCGCTGGGTTTATACAACTCATTTGGAAAAAATAGCAACGAAGTAGAACCATATGAAAACTAGAACCGTCCGAAAAAATGAACGGTGTCGATATAAATTGCGAAAAAGCTTTACACCATTCTTTCCAAGAAGGCGGCAATTCCATAACTACCTGAGTATCGCAAATCTGTTTTTAACATCTCCTAAACCTACTCAACCGTAATCCAAAGATTCAAACCAAAAATGGCCAGAGTTTTGCTAATTTCACTAAACTATTTAGTTTGAAAAAAATAAAAATTAAAGCTGTTCTCAATTGATTTTCCATAGCTCTAGAGTTCCTAAAAAGAAAAAAAAGTTCTTCAAATATGCCGAAAAAAAGTTTAAAATGTCCAAAAAAAAAATTTGAATTTTTCTGAAAACAATTTTTCCTTTGTAGGAGTGCTCTCTCAGAACAATCTTCATTTGTATTTTTATTTTTTTAACATTAAACCCCTGCAACTTTTTTGAAAAGGAGTTCTTCCGGCCTAATTTTACAGAACTATCCTCTTTTCCTTTTCAGGATATGTAGAACAAATTAAAAAATTACAAAACATCTGCTCTTTTTTTAAATTTTTACTTTTTTTAATGTTTATAAAAAAAATCTGGAACGATTAATAAATTTCTCAGAATCGACTATTTTATGTTGAGAAAAATACTGTATCTAAAAAAGTATACGGATCCGTAACCTGCCATCCAAAATTAATAGCGTTTTCTATTCTCGAAAAAAAATTTCACCCTCTTATAACATTTTAAAGAAAGAGCACCGCAATATGCATGTGAAGGTGCTGAGAAAACAACACGAAAGCTTGACAGCTCTGGCGGAGGGCCAACATTACTTCGAGAAAAGAAAACGCTATAAGTTTACGTGTGTCGGCATCTTTTTGTGCCATTTTAGCACCTCTACAACGTAAAAAAATAAATAAAATTAAAAAGTGAATGTGTTATATTGGTAAATGGAATGTAATTGATTTTTGAACACACACATACCGAAATTCATGTACACATCACATAATACTTAAAACTAAAAAACCGAGTGCAGATAACACAAGGCGTCATGAGGCTACTGCAGATATAAATTTAGAAACAAAAATTGTTAGGTTAACTATAATAGGCATACAAACTTATATGCATACAGTCTTATGTAAGCAACCAATATGCATATTAAAATTTACATAGGAGTAGAAACGACATTAAGTAAATCTGTAAGTAAATCTTAAAAAAAGTGTTAATTTTCACTAAAATTAAACTGATGAGACGAAATCTTACCAAATTAGTTTTCGAAAAAATAAAATTAAAAAAAACTCATATATGCAAGCCAAATTAAATAAATATAAGTAAAATCAACTAAAAAAACTGACTAAAGACAAATAATTTCATTTCGTTATTATACAAATAAATACAGTTAAGTTAAATCACAAAAAGGGTAAATAAGTATTTGATCAAGCGGACATTTTTGGAATATTAATATATTCTATTTATAAGGCAAATAAATACACATGTAACCAATAAGTACACTAAATAAAATCTACAATACTTTGTTTACGGTCTCCCTTAAAAATTTTAATTAATCCGATTAACTAATTTATTATGCATTATAAAAATTAAATTTGAACCTTGCTTATCCTTGCAAGTAGACAGTAATATAGCACGACGATATCTATAAATACATGTGTATGTATATTAGCATGGGCCGAAAATACGCTTTTTTAGAATTTTGATTGGTAATAGCAAAAATAATCTGTGCGAAATATGACAATTTTCGGGCAATGCCTTAGGCTCGCCCAAGTCCATCAAAGTTCAATGTGCTTAAATAATATAATTTAATAAACTTTTTAATTAATACTTTTTTTTTTAATAAAAATACAATTGTCTTCGAAAGTATTAGTCCTACATAGTTTGGTATATGGATCTTTTTTGAGGAGAATCGAAGTAAGTTAAGAAACAAATTTTTTAGCACTTAAACTTTGATGGACTTGAGCGAGCCTAAGGCATTGACCAAAAATTGTCATATTTCGCACAGATTATTTTCGGCCCACTCTAATGTATACGTACATATGTATCACACATATACATACACGTGTAATCTGTTCTGTTTTGTTTTAGAGTAAAACCTTATAACTTCTTTCAACCAGTTTTCATTCTGTAACATTCATCATCAGGAACAGGAGAATCGATCATCTTTAAACTTGCTACAATAAAATAAAAACCATAAAAGTGGCCTCTTAAACCTCTTACGATGTTTATTATCTTTCAACTATAAAGATGAATATTCGTTAAGAATTGTAGACTGTATACCTCTTTGAATACCACTAATGTGCAGCGCCGCAACCAATTAAAGGGTGTCCCATTAAGAAAGCGCATTTTTATTCTAAAATGCTAAGCCATACATTTTTTCGTAGTTGTGTATATATTTTAATATAAAGAATATAGCCTGCAATCAAACGTGGGCAATAACATCCCACAAATGAACACCTCGTCTTTTTTTGTTTTCTTTTCTAGAAATTTCCAAACACGTCTTCACACAATAGGGACCCAATGGTGCAATTAGCATACGTGAAGGATTTTAAAAAATTCCAAAGCAAGAAAACGCAAGGCGTTAAATCGCATGATCTAGCTGGCGAGTTCTGATCTCCGTTACGT